CCCCCCCCCAAAAAAAAAGCCAGCCAGGGCAGGAGAGTTCTTGAGACTCTTATTTCTTTTTCTTTCTTTCTTTTTGTCGGTCATGGGGCCTGAACTCTGGGACTGGGCGCTGTCCTTCAACTCTTCAGCTGTAGACTAGCCCTCTACCACTTAAGCCTCAGCCCCACTTCCAGCTTTTTCTGTTTACGTGGTGCTGAGGAATCGAACCCAGGGGCTCATGCATGCAAGGCAAGCACTCTACCACTGAGCCACCTTCCCAGCCCCGAGATTCTTATTTCTAATAAACCACCAGAAAACTGCAAGTGGCACTGTGGCTCAAGAGGTAGAGCACTCCCCTTGAGCTAAAGAACTGAGGGACAGCACTCAGGCCCAGAGTTCAAGCCCCACAACTGACAAAAAAAAGAAGAAGAAGAAGAAAGAAGGAGGAGGAGGAAGAGGAGAAAGAGAAAGAAAAGAAAGAAAGAGAGAAAGAAAAAAGAGAGAGAAAGAAAGAGAGAGAGAAAGCCTTCTTAGGATGCTGGATGCAGGTACTGGTGGCTCATCCCTGTAATCAATCCTAGCTACTCAGGAGGCTGGGTTCTGAGGATCATGATTTGAAGCCAGCCTGGGCAGGAAAGTCTAGGAGACTCTTTTTTTTTTTTTGTCTTTTCTTTTTTGGTACTGGGGATCGAACCCGGGACGTTGCGCTTGCTAGGCAAGCGCTTTTCCACTGAGCTACATCCCAGCCCTCTAGGAGACTCTTATCTCCAATAAACTTCTCAGAAAAGGCCAGAGTGGCATTGAAAGCTCAGAGACAGTGCCCAGGTCCTGCGTTCAAGCCCTGGGACCTGCAAAACAAGAAAGAAAGAAAAAGAAAAAGGAAGGAAGGGAGGGAAGGAGGGAAGAAAAAGAAAAGAAAAATCTTATGATCCACAGAAGGCAGTGAGGGCTTCCCCTGAACTCTCTGGCTACACCAAGGGTGTTGAGGATCACTGGGAAGCTCCTGCAGAGAGAAACAGACGGAACCAAGGAAAGGAGATTGCAGCCGACCCCGTCCCCCCTCCCCCCTTCCAGAGAGCTGTAGTGCGCCTAGACTGGGAATGGAAGGGACAGGGTTGGGAGGGGCGTGGCTGGGAGGGGGCGTAACCTGTAAGTGGGCGTGTTGGGGCGTGGCCGCCGCGAGGGGGCGGGCGCAGGACCACGGGCCAGGACGTCTCGGGAGGGGCCGCGCGCGCGCTAGCCGGGCACAGGCGTGTGGAGTCGCGCGGTGCCCTCGCTCCGCTCGTGGGTTCCGCCGCCCCGTGCCCATCAGCACCGGCCGCGCCATCATCCCGGATCCAGATGGGGAAGGACCAGGGCTTCTCTCGGCACTTTAGGTAGCTTCCGCGCCGCGCCTCGCGTCCTTGGGAACCGTGCGCCCTGGGCGCAACGGATCTTCCTGGGACCTGAGCGAAGGGGGTGGGGCTGGGGCCTGGAGGGGCTTCCTTGCCCTGGGGAAGACACCCATGGTGTCTAGGAGCCCAGGAACTGGGGATGGTGGGTGGATACAATAGAGGTTTGGGTGTTTGGTGTTAGGTGAACTCAGCGCAGCACTAGGAGTTGTTAGATCAAAGGGCTAGGATAGAAAAGCCCTCTCCCTTTCCCGCAGTGGTGGAGGGAACAGGATGGAGCCAAGGCTGGAGTCCATTGCTCTGAGTGACAATCTAATACATTGGGTCCTGCGAAAGGAAGGCACGACCCGTCCACCCTCTCCACTGCCGCTCACAGCCCAAGCTGATGCTATCCAGTGAACCAGGGCACATTTGCCCTCTCTTCTATTCCCACTAGTTCACTCTCTGGCTGCTCATGATCAAGGGCGAAGTGAAGAGGCTTGGCTAGAGCAGCGAGAGAATGGAGATTCTAGGGGAACCCTATAGTAGAACAGACCCTGAGTGCAAGATCATTGTGAGCCCTGGGCCTCAGGCTTGTTGGCATCACAGGGACTCAGGAGACCTGGGCACCTTTTGCTGGACTGTCACATGCAGAGAAGCCCAGGGATACCATTGCTATTATCAAATTGGTTCTACTGCACTTGGCTGTGATGACTTTAGTCAATTCAGTGCAGACCTGGAGTTGCCAGACCCAGATGCATGGAGAGGGCTCATAAGCCAGGAAGGGTGTCTGGCTTACAGCGCAGCCCTGGCCTCTAGCCCAGCCCCCAGGGTGCCAAGCAGAAAACTGGCCAACCAGACTCCTTCCACCTGCCCAATTGGTGACTCAGCCTAGTTCTTCCAGCGGTGGGGGAGGCAGAATCTTTTCTTTTCTTTTGCCGGTCGTGGACCTGAACTCTGGGCCTGGGCGCTGTCCCTCAGCTCTTCAGCTCAAGGCCAGCGCTCTACCACTTGAGCCACAGCGCCACTTCCGGCTTTTTCTGTTTATGTGGTGCTGAGGAATTGAACCCAGGGCCTCAGGCATGCAAGGCAAGCACTCTACCACTGAGCCACCTTCCCAGCCCAGAATCTTTTTTTGTCGCTGGATGTAGGGTGGCACTGGGCTGGGTCATCTGGTTCCTTTCTAGGTTGGGCTAGGGGACTGATCCCCTGCAGAGCCTGAGAATTGGAGCTCCTGATGTGAGATTAGACAGTCAAAGGCTTGTCTTTCCTCCCCGTGAGACCAGGAGGGAATGGGGAGTATGGAAGCCAGAGAGAGAAGGCTGAGGCTTTAGATATGCAGGGATCACTAAGGGTGGGTGAGGAGAGGCTTCTAGCTGGCCATTCATTCTGGACTTCTGGTCACTTGGAACACTGAGACCTGAAGAGGTAGGGCCACTGCATGCCATGGGGAGAGAGTGACCCCTTGTCCCCTCCCACCAGGCAGCTTACTCCGCTGGTCTTGCTTTGTGGGTTTACCCATCTTCCCCACTGAGGCTGAGGAAACTCTGTGCTCTGGAAAGTTACAGAGCAGCTGGGAATAGGGACTTGCAAAGCTATTGACCCCTTTTGTCTCCTTGTTCTCCATCATGCCCTTGACATTGGCTCATGGAATCAAGAATGGGGAAGAAATCATTGGGATGTAGCCAGGGAGGCCCAGTGTTGAGGTGCAGGAAGGCCAGGCTCTGATTCCAGCTGTGTGGCGCTGGAAAGGTACAAAACGCTCATGCCTCAGCGTCTTTGGTCATAGACCTCGAAGCCCACCAGGATGTTAGCTGCTGTTGTTACTCAGAGATGTGGTTTGGCTGTTGGCAACCCCCTATGTCTGTTGGCAAGACCTATCCCAGATGCCAACCTCTGCCTCAGAACTAACTGCAAGTCTCAAAGAGGAGACCCCTGGGCACTCAGGACTCATTCTAGGGTGAAAACTGTGCATGGGAGCCAGGCCTCCCACCACTTCTCCAACGTGACTCGTTGGCAGGCAGTAGCCACAGGCCTTTCAGCTTTGGGCCCCAGTGCCTGGCTGGCACAAATGGCAGAGGAAGCTAGTCCGTGAATGGCACTCTGCATATCTGTAATCCTAGCTACTTAGGAGACAAAGATAAAAGGATAGAGATTTGAGGCTAGCCCAGTTAATTTTTTTTAAGTTAACAAGACCTTATTTTAAAAAACAAGAGCTAGCCAGGCGCAAGTGGTTCACGCCTGTAATCCTAGCTACTCAGGAGGCTGAGATCTGAGGGTTGCGGTTCAAAGCCAGGCCAGGCAGGAAAAAATCCGTGAGACTCTTATCTCAATTAACTAGCAAAAAAGCTGGAAGTGGTAGTGTGGCTCAAGTGGTAGAGCATTAACCCCGAGCAAACAAAAATATCTAAGAGCATAAGGCCCCCCCCCCCCGAGTTCAAGTCCCAGCATGCGCGCGCGCGCGCACACACACACACACACACACGCACGCACGGAGACAAGCTTCCCAGGTCACCCCTGAGGACGATCCGGAGGCAGCTTTGGGCAGCGGTGGCGATGCCATCTGTGACCCTCGTCTCCCATCCCCTGCTCCCCACAGGATCTTCATCCCCAAGAAGCACCGGGCGCGCTTCGACGAGGTGGTGTCGCAAGGTCTGCTGGGCAAGCTGTGCCGCGCGCGAAGGGCGCAGGGCGCGCAGCGACTCCGCCGGAGCCGCAGCGAGGAGCGGCCCGAGCGCCTC